CATATTCATAAAAAGAAAATATCATCATGAAAAATAGAATGAAAACTTTTGAAGTTCTTCATTGTGTACATGATTTTATACAAACTGTAATTTTATATAAAAATAATTATCAGTTCAAATCCAAACTAGAAAAAGAATCTTTAATAATATTTTTTCTTTAATTAGTGATTTAATTTAGACTGTAGTGTTTTCATACAGTAAAAATTTATCAGAGGTCTAAATTTATTAAAACACATCAGATAGATTTATATGTGTGGTTCCAATTTGCTCACTTTTGTTATAATCATTGTGAATTCTTCATTGTGCTGAATATGCTATCTCACCTATTTCTAGGCCAGTATCTTGTCAGAGTTTGACGCAAGGCAGCTTTGGGTCACAGGAGAAATTATATAATTGTGTGTTCCCAGCTGTTACTTTTAATCTAATTATGAAGTCACTTTTTTCAAAGAGTCATGGAGGGGTTGGAAGGGACTCCAGGATGTGGTCTAGTCCAATCCTTCTGCTCAAAGCAGGGTCAGTTACAGCAGGTTGCATCCAGTTGTGTTTTTATTATCTTCAATGATGGAGACTCCACAACAACCTCTCTGGTAAACAAGCTCGTGCATACTGTCTGACCAGCCTCAAAATAGAAGTTTGTTCTTGGATTTTAAAGGGACTTGCCTATGTTTAATTAAGTGCTTCTTGCTTCTTGTCTTGTCATTGGACATTGCTGAGAAGAACTTGATTCTGTCTTCTTTACTCCCTCCCATTGGGTATTTGTATGCATGGACAAGAGCCTGCATGAGCCTTCTCTTCTTCAGGTTGAACAGTCTGAGGTCTCTCAGCCTCTCTTCACATGTCTGATGTCTCCAGCCTTAGAGGGGAAGGATCATATCTCTCAACCTGCTGACAATTCTGTTTCTAATGCAGCCCAGCATACTGATGGCATTCTTTGCCACAAGGGCACAATGCTGGCCCATGGTCACCTTATTGCATAACAGAACCTATTCTGCAAACTTCCTTTCCAGACAGTCAGTCCCCAACATGTACTAGTGCATGAAGTTATTCTTTCCCAGAGACAGGACTTTGCATTTCCTTTTGTTGATCTGTTTGACATTCATTTCTGTTCAGTGTGTTGAGGCCCCGATCAACATGACTTTAAAGAGAAAATCAAGAGTGGCTTCACAGTAATATTAGCCAACTTATTCCCTCTTTGCAGCATCCTGAACTTCACCATCTCATACTCACTGCAACCAGGGCTGCTCTTGACATTCACATCCTTGCTTGGTTCTTCTTTATGAGTATGAGGCACAGCAGAGCTACCTTCATCATCTCTCCAATTACCTATGTCAGGAAGCTATCAGTGCACTCTGGAAGCTTCCTGGATTGCTTGTGCCCTGCTGTGTTGCCCTCCACAGGGTTAAAATCCCCATAAAGACCAGGGCCCGTGAATGTGAGGCTGTTTCCAGCTGCCTAAAGATTTTGTTGACTCCTTGACCATGATCAAGTAGTCCAGACACAAAGTACAATATTAGTAGCTGTGGGCTGACACTGGGCTTTCCACTAATCATGACCCAATAACTCTCACTTGGCTCCTTGCTTGAGTGAGCTTTCTCTGTTCCTGCTGCTCTCTCATATAAAGGGCATTTATATAGTCATGGGGAAAACCAGAGAGTGATAGAGCACGGCTCCTGCTGTGTGGAGATGCTTGTGTTGTTTAATCTAGTTGAAGTTAATGATAGTGGGGGCTTCCTTTTGTGAAAAAATTCCACAAGCTTGATGTCACATACCTTGACTGCTTGATTCCACTCCCGTCCTGAGTTCTCTAACAGCTACAGAAAAGCATCAGGACCAGATATATCTTGCTATAAAAGAAACTTGTTTACTATTTGTTCATTTATCTTTTTGCTATTACTAGAATGTCTTTGATACAACATCCCAAGACCTCATTGCTGTGCCTTTTCAAGGGCAAGGAAACTAATTCCTCCAATGTACAATGGGACCAACAAGTTTTCAGTTTCCCTCGATGCTTTCATTCATTCCAGCAAAAAGCCTTAAGTAGAGTGGAGAAAATATGACCCTAGCCCTAACCCTAACCCTAACCTCCTGACAATCTTAATCAATCCAGGTTCTTGGGACCACAGAGAGAACTTGACTATACTACTTTTATAAATATGAAAAAGAGGGAGCTGTTTGTCATTAGTTTTCTGAATCTTACATTTGTGTTTCTTTCCTGTTAAGTTTTCTGTACCTGGTCTGAAATTGCTTTGCATCACTATTTATCTTGTTTTGACATTTATTCACATACCATTTTGTTCCTCCACAGTTCAACAGTACAATTTAGAAAAATTGAAATTTTCATTCCTTTTTCTTCCTTTCTCTTACCTTTCCAGATCTCCCTGCTATCTCTTTGCATAATTACTCCTTCTTCTTAAATCTGTAGAAAAGGTCTTTCTTATTGCCCTTAATTTTTCTCTAATTTCCAAAACATTTCCTAATATTTTTCATTTGATCTTGCTGTTCCTTTCAGTGTAGAATGCCTTAATTGACATCTTCTTTTCCTATACAGTTATCTCTTTCTTCCTCTTCTTCCTCTTCCTTTCACTTCCTACCTACCTGCCTTTAGTTCTCCTTTTCTACTTACCAATTCTGAATTCCTTTATTTCTGCCTTGCACAACTGCCCTTTCTTCCTTTAAATTACTCTGTTTTCTTTTGGGATTTGTTTTTTTCACTATTAATCCTTTCTTTGAAGTTGCATTTAGGATTAAATCAGACTGATTTTAAAGTCATAGACATCTAGGTGGTTCTGCCTGCTCAGACACCGTACTCTGTTCCCCCATTTCACTTCTAAGGTCCTTCATGCCACTCTGAATGTTGTTTTGTTTTTTTTTTTTTCTTCTTTGTGGCTTTATTATCAGAAGCTATCCTAATCTTGCAGTTTGTGTTTTTTGTTAGTTTGTTTGGGTTTTTGTTTCTCCTCTTTGTTTGGTTGGTTGGTTTTTTGGTTGGTTTGTCTTTGGTTTTTTCTTCTCTTGTTCCTGTGTCACTCTTTGTACTTTCTCCATTCAGGTCTTATTTTCTTGCACACTTCCTACCTATTACCATGATTTTGAATGGGTAGCTCTTTAGATTTTCGTAGGTTTCTCTTTTCCATAATTCTCTTCCTCTGCTTCAGCTCTTTTGCTTAGAGTAGACAGTGAGACTCTTTCTGCATGTTGGAAAGAACCAGTCCCAAAAGTTCCTCACCTGGAAACAGCTAGAGTGTGGAAGGATGATTATGCCTCTGATGTGTTACCTATATGAGGTATTGCATCATGATGTGACACAATATCCTCCAGGTTCAGACCTCACTGTCCCCAAATGACAGCAACAGATAGATAAGGACTGTCCCAAAGTACCCTCCCTTTCTATATGCACATGCTGTTTTGTTCTTTCTGTCCATTCTAAAGTAGAATCCTTTCTGTAACAAACTTACAACCTCATCAGGCTCACTGCAGCTTAGGGGATGGTATACCAGACTTAAAAAAAAAAAATGAACAGTGAACAGAAGCAGGCTGGTTGATGTCTTCAGCATTGGCTAAGTCATATAGTATATATATACTGTTATATCTGAGTGAACAGTTGCATATTTGAGGTGTACACTTTGATTTTGATGGCATTTACTATTTATGTAACAGACCATAAATGCTCCAAATAAGCCATTATAGTGAGTTATGGATATCTGAACTTAAACACTTATTGAAGAGTGGATTTCTTGTCATGATATATGGAGTCGTTAAGTTCTACAATATAAATACTTTGTGCTGTCCTTAGTTTGCAAATCACTAAAGCAGTTGTCTGCTCTGAGCCAGTCTCTGCACTGTGCATATATGTTGTCACAGAAATTGCTTTTAAAGTTGCAGAGGAGAATAATTGCTATGAAGCATCAAATTTGAAGTATAAATAATATGAGCATCATAACTCCTTTCTGGTTAGTTAAGTCTTAGTTTATTTTTTATCTTTCCCTTAAAAATAATTACAATAATGCTTTTGGGTTGTTTAAACTAAAAAAATACATAAGGAGTTAATTTTTACTGATTTAACACTGATAAAGTTTGTAGCTCTTCTAAATGAAGGAAGGTCTTCTGGTTTGGTTTTAATAAAAAAAATATGAGGAGTAATTTATCTTTACTGTGTCATATGCTTTTGGAGTAGTAGCTTCTCAATGCCAACACCTAATCATCTCACAACACTTCCATAAACAGCACAGATTAGCAAGCATGTATGATTTTTTCTGATGGCTTCCAAGCAGCTTCTTCACAGTAATAATAGATGGCCATCAGTAAAGCCTTTTTCTTGCAGCTTTAATCTGCATGCAACTTCTAGATCATGGGCTTCAGGGACACTGAAGACTGCTGCTTTTATTGATCTTCATACTTGTGATCAAAGTGGTGCTTCTTAGCTGTAGCCTTTCTCATGACTAAAAGGTTTTGTAAAATAATTTTACTTTCTCTGTGTATAAATGCTCAGGCATCATTTATAGGGGCCCTAAAGTGACTTCTTCAAGTCAAACAAGTTTTCTTACAAAGCTTGAGTTTCAACAACAAACTTTAAAAGAAATTATTTCCTATACACTAGATCTGTCTGGGATGCAGTTAACTCTTTTCCTAGCAGCCCATAGGGTGATGTATTTTGCATCTGTGGCGAAAATTGTTGATAACGTATCAATGATGCCCCATCAATGGGCCAATCAACGGGCCAACCCACTACTATGGGTAGTGATGATGATATGATAATCAGGCTAAGGGAAAGTCCAGTCATCTTGGACAAAACTGAAAATCTCTTGCCACAGAGTAATAAAAAGTGTGTGACTGTCAATTGAGTGCTGTCAATGCTGCATGTCAAATAATTATTATGCTCACGGAACCTGTGTTGTATAGTTTTTTCCTATTACAGATTACATGACCGCTCCTAGATGTGTGTGTTGTGGAGTGCTGAATGATTTGCTACCTAATATCAGCTTTTTCTCTCTTGTTTTTAGCCCCTTGTGAAGCCAACACATTCTTTTGCCACAGTAATATGTGTATAAATAATACACTGGTCTGCAACGGACTCCAGAACTGTGTGTATCCCTGGGATGAAAACCACTGCAAAGGTAATGTTAAGGATTGAAAAAGTCAAATCATGTACACTGCATGAGATTCAGCAAATGATCCTCAGTTTCTTGTTAAGTATGTGCCAAGTTCATGAAAACTCAGGAAGAGTAATTCAGGAAGAGCATACATCAAGCAATAGAGAAAATGAAGGGAGCTAAAAAATGCCGATGGATCTTACTTTCAGTGTTTGTATTCATGATGTGTCGTGTTGCATTGGTTACATCCTTCTGGCTGGCTATATGCTTCTGGGAGGCTTTCTGATCACTTCGTCTCTGTTTTCCATACACTCTAAAGTATAATTAAAAGTACTGTTTCAGTTCCTTTGTCATAGGTACTTTTGTAGTGGAGTAACATATGGGTAGCAGGTGTCTTTTAGCTGCATGCTATGCCCATAATAGACCATGTGGTTTTAAAAGCCAAGGTGAAGTGGAATTTACACTGCAAGAAATTGAAGAGTGAGGAACAAGCACAGGAAATCAGGTGTAATGTCTGTTTCATAGGGAGGGAGGGATGTTCCTAACCATGTGTTGGCAGCGGTTTCTGCATATTGCTGTGTTTCTGGAAAAAAAAAGTCAGCATCTGTGTTGTCTTCAGGGAAAAGAGCTTAACTAACTTACATTGCAGGCTTGGGAGACAGTTTGCTTCCCTCCTGCCCACCCCCATCCATCCCCACCCCCACCCCCGATCCAGATTTGTTCCTGGAAACATGGGATATGCCAAATTTAGGAACCAATCAAGAAAAAATTCAGAATGAGGTGGATTAACAGTCAGCCCATAAGTCTGCTGAAGCCTGTAAAATCCTGACAAGCAGTGCAATAGGGCAAAACACAAATGAAAGCATACTTCAAAAGAACACAAACTGTGGCATAGCATAATATTCTTCAAAGAAACTAAACATACAATTGGGAAATAATTATTCATTCTCTAGTTCTTCAGAACAGCGGAAAACAGAAAATCTTCACCACTCTTTTAATTTCCAGAATGATTTTCATCTTTCTTTTGCCAAGTATCTTTTTATTGGGTCTTGTGTGTTTATCCTCTCTTTTTTTTTTTTTTTAACTATGAAAAGGAGGTTTGCTGATTCCAGCAAAAAGGTTGTTTGCTGCAGTGCTGCTTTTTCTAAGTCTGCTTTTTCTCCAGAGTCTGTGTCAGTCAGTTAGAAAAACACTGGGTAAGAGTAGGCAATGGGGAGTACTGAAAAGTTAATTTTTGGAATCCAGGAGATTCTGAAGAGATGGATGTTGCTGTTTTGGTGCCAATAACTTTCATTTCAAAGGCTTTTTGTTAAGTTCTTTGATATGTTTTAGGTTGCCAAGAAAAATTACAGTAAACTTAATCACAATTATCGAGTCTTGCTATGCCTGAGAGAGAAAGATAAGAATGCTTTCAGCTGGAATTTCTACAGGGCTCAGTCACCATCTCATGTGCCTGCAGCCATTTGAAAGCAAATCACAAAGGAAGATACACAACAGTAGGGTGAAACTGGTTTTATTTTTGTTATTTTACTGCATATTTTTGTTTATCATCATTCACAATGCAATTTGCTGGCTAATCTATTAGAGGCCTCTGAGTAAAGGGTAGTAGACATGATCAGCTTTTGTGTTTTTATGGGTGTTCAGAAAAGTTTTGTAAATTAATAGAAAAAAAAAAGAAATAACTTGCACCAATTTGGTTTTTTCCTTTCTCAAATCTCAGTTTGAATAACTTTTCTATTTTCTCCCGATTTAGCTTTTTCCTTGAGCGCTGCAAAATTCCCAGTCAGCTCACAATTATTAAGACTTCAACACAGTTTGCAATGCAAAGAGAAATTTCTTTTTAAATCCTGCAAAATCTTGTTCTTCCATTGGTCCTAACGTCCTAGTTGCATATATTTACTGGAAGGGACAGAAATAATGAAGAGAACATCTGTAACAGTCTTGGGGGCTTTAGCAGGCAAATAGAGTTCAGAGGTTACACTGAAGCCATCTGCTTGTTACGGTGGTTGCTTTTTATAAAAGAACATATATAATTCTTTCAATTAATTAAGCCTGCAATATACCCTGAACAAATGACTTTCCAAGTGAATAGGCACACAGAGGACTTGTGTGTTGTTTATTTAGCTTTCATGAATACCTGATTTCTTCCTCTTTTCTCTTTTGTTGATGAGGTTGATTAAGTGAACTCAGACATATACTAGGTTCAGCTTTGTAGTAATCTGTGAACTCATCATGGTTGTTTTTATTCCTGAACTGCAATTAATGCTATGCCTTTTTTTTTTTTCCTCCTATCACACAGAAAAAAGAAAAGCTAACCTATTGGACCAACTTACCAATACCAGTGGGACTATAATTGGGGTGACTTCTTGCATTGTGATCATCCTCATTGTCATATCTATTATAGTACAGATCAAGCAGCCTCGTAAAAAATTTGTCCAAAGGAAAACAGACTTTGATCAAAATGTGTTCCAGGAGGTGTTTGAGCCTCCTCATTATGAGTTATGCACCCTCAGAGGGACAGGGACTACAGCTGACCTTGCTGATGTTGCAGATGACTTTGAAAATTATCATAAACTGCGGAGATCCTCTTCAAAATGCATTCATGACCATCACTGTGGATCACAAGTGTCTAGCATTAAGGGCAGCCGTAGTAACCTCAGCACAAGAGATGCTTCTGTCTTGACAGAAATACAACCCCAGCCTGTAAAACCACTCGTTCAACCCATGAACAGGAGAAATATCCTTGTCATGAAGCATAGCTACTCACAAGATGCTGCAGATGCGTGTGAGATAGACGAAATTGAAGAGGTACCAACCACAAGTCACAGGCTGTCCAGACATGATAAATCTGTTCAGCGGTCAGTATCAATAGATTTTTGATGAAGATTATTTTGTAAGGACTTGATTGGCCAAACATATTCCCTCTTTATTCAGTAAAGTCGGATTTTTTTTCTTCTTTACTTAGTGTTTAAATTTCTGTTTGCTGATAGTACATACTATTACATTATTTCTCTTCCTGTCTCTCTTTCTCTCATCTCTGCTCCTGGTTCCTGAAGGATCCTGTATCTCAGCTTTACATTTCTACTTTATTTCTCTCTTTTATTTTTACTATTTTACACATATCCACATGCATACATACACAGGTCAACAGAGAACAGGTATAATTTTTAAAAACCAAAGAAGATTGTGTAAATTTAGTTTTTGGAAAAGCCACATATATGTGGTTTCCTTGTAACTGAGGTGGCCTTGAGTATAATCCACTGTTGGTCTAACCATCTCTGAATCAATACATCAATAAATAAAAAATACATGCATCCATTTTGGTGCATGACACAAGAATGAGGATCATAATCCTGGGGTAAGGAAACCCCTTTTATCATGAAATGTTAACTTTTATATAATGAATGAAAATATTTTCAAATTTTAATGTATCCGTTCCGTTATTAATCACAGTATTTTTGTCATACTTAAGATAGATAGACAAATTAGAACACGAGACACCATAGTGAACTCATATATTTACATATAAGAATGAAGCTAAAAGGAATCTTTCTAATCAATAAAAAAGGAAAGTCAAGCATGATATTTTTAATAAAAGACCTATTTTTTCTGTATATTGCACTTTGAATGACTGTAAATATGAATGATTAAAAGTTTACAAGCAAAAGAAAAAAAGCAAAAACATTTATGAACAATATATTTAAAAAACACACATAACTTTTTTTATATATATTTGTTTTCTCTTCCATGCATTATTTATGCACTTCTTGTGACTGTTTACATGCCCTCCATATTTTCTTTGCACATTAAGGCATTTCTATTTCTTAAAAAAAAAAGTTATTTGACTATTTTAATCTAACTGCATGCCTGTGTAAATTCATGAATATTGGTCAGATTATCAAAGTGTACTGTTTATTAAGTATATATATGCATATATTTCTTCTTTTCTATGCAAACACTATTATTTTGAATGAAATAGCCATAACATTCCAGGTTCTGCCTCATTGGGTCTCTAAGCAAACATGAGTCTGAGTACAACACAACTAGGGTCTAAGAGACAAACCTGAGGTAAGTAAACTTATGTATACAGCAATTGAATCATCCGTTGCTTTCCATTTCATTTGTTATTTTTCTGAAATGCATATTAGGTCTCAAACTGTATATCACCTTGTATGGAGAGAGCCAGGGTTGAATTCTAAGAAAACTGAAAGACAGATGACTGCTTTAACACTGCAAACTAAGTAAAATTTTTTAGTTGCTTATTCTTGACAGTACTATAATCAGCCCCAGCTAAATGCAATCTTCATTCCAAACACCTTATAAAGTCAGGTGCTTTGCATGTCTCTTCTGTTTCTTTTTTTCCTAATTACTATTTATGAAAATAAAATTTAGAGTCCCAGTATTTGAAATAGTACATAAAACTTGACAATCTAACTCAGGTCAGTAAGATGTGGAACTATCTGGCTTTGGTTCATTTTATTCATTCAACCTTGTGAAATGTTGGGGGAGGATTTGTGAAGTGTTGGGGGAAGAGTATGTGGTAGTACTGATAAATTTAGAGATTCTGTAGCGCTGTTGTTAATGTTTTCAAATTAAACTCAGTTTTTTGAGTCTATTCCTAGACTTTTAATTTTGCATCATTTTTATCAGCATTTAATCTCAATAAACATAATCTCAGATGTTTATAATAGACTTATAGATAGCTGCTAGTCTGTCAATTTATATATGTGTATGTATAAACATAGATATGTGTATATACATTTTTATGTGTATATATGTATAAAGCAATTTTACAGGGAAAGAATCCATTAATGGTTTTATTGCTTGTAGATAGATTAAGTAAATGTTTTTCTGCATTTTTTTCTTCAGAGAACATCTTTTAACTTTTTTTTCCTTTCAGACAACTATTCATGCAGTCATGAAAACTCTGAATGGAAAAATTTATAATGAATTAGCTGTCTGAAAGAAAGAGTGGAAAATTTTCTAATTTAATTTCATTGCCTTTATGCAAATCTAAGAAATATAAGCATATCTTACTTCCGTAGCAAGATACTCCCATTGCACAATAATATATTTCTTTTGCAATGTTGTTGCTGACCACCAAGTGCTCCTTAGTTATTAAATATATTTGGAGATTTGCCATAAACTTGAGGAAGAAATTAGCTCCTAAGATTGACCCTTTTTTTTTAAGCGTAGTTTTATTTGAGTTTATGTATTTTATGTCTGCTTTTTACTTGTATGTTTTGTGATATGTGGAAGAAGATTTACATTGAACTTTTGTTATATGTACGTTGTTTTCATTATATAGACTGCTTGAGAATAGTGCGCTCCTGGGTGATTTTGAACATGCTACAATGAAATGTGAAACTATCGTCCCCGGAAACACCAGCTAGAGGTTTTATGGACTCTCTGACCAGCTATTCTCATGTCATGACAAAATTCAGCAAACAGTGTTGAGTAAAATTACTAGAAGGCAATAAGACTTTGGTTATTATGCTTATCAGTCATTTCTCTTTTCCTTTTTCTCTCTTCTTTTCGTTACAATTTAAATTCCCAATTTCAGGAACAATTTATTGAAATCAGGTATTTAGCCATTCATAATCACTTCAATAGAAGCATTTGTTGGATAAGCATCTAGCAATATGACTGAATTTGACATTGAGAAATTAATCTGCATGTTTGTTACTGAATATTTGAGTTGGCAAAAATCCCTTTATTAGATACATTGTAAAAAGCATGCATTCACAATTATTGCTGTTACTGTTCCATTTCTGTGTCATATGCTTGCTACTTGTAACTTTTTATATAAAAATACATAAAAAAATGTATAATAATTTCGTACCTTGAGTTTAATGGCAATGTTTTCTTTTACCTAATTTATCAATCCTGTGTAATTTGGGAGATTGACCTCAAAAAGTATCTTCTAGGAATTTAAAACCCAGATACAGCAGGAAATCATCTGTCTCTCATCCCTCACTTACTGAAAAGCAAAATACATTTTTTTTTTACGATTTAAATGGATTCATATTACATAAAGCTGATCACTTAATTTCAGTTCAAAGGTTTGTGATAAGCTATATGCTCAATTCTGTACTCTTCATTAATTTATTTCCACAGTAATTAATAAGAAGATTGCTTCAGTGTAGTACAGTGGCAGATATTTATCGGTTACACAAATGTTATGTCTGGGTTCCAATTTTAGAAATACAGATATAAACCACTTCGCTATGCAAGATAAAATTATATTCGTAATTCAAGCTACAAATATTAGCAACTGACACCAAAATTACACCTGAGAAGTTGCGTTTTTATAGGTTGAAGAGCCAAAATTATGTAAAGTTGAAAGTCCTCTTATTTAAGAACTCAGTAACCATGCATAAAATCATAGTTTCATTATCTATGTAAAGTGTTACCTTCCAAATTCTGTTTTAAAACAAATCCCAGTTCCTTCTTAAACATCTTGTGTCATTCACGGATGATATAAAAATGTTGCTAGATTTACTGAAAAAAGCGTAAAAAATTCCATGTATCTCCCCAAAGTATAAAAAGATGGGAAAAGAGAAAACCTGAAAGACTGACATAAAAAATAAGGTGATCTATATGAGCTATTTAAATATACAGGATCTAATTTGTATAATTAAAAATACAGAAAATTTGATTTCTACAAGTGTGATTTAGGAATGACATGAAAAGATGAAGGGTTTTAGGTATTTGATTACTTTTTTTGTACACTAAATTTACAATATATTTTACACAACTCGTTTTTAGCTTGATTAAATTGTTTGCTGTCACATATTAGCTGCAAAAGACACTCCTCTGTCCTCTCCAGTCATTGAGAGTCATTGAGTCATCCCTCAGTTACATGGGTTTGTAGCATGCACTAATAGTTCATTTCCAGATCAATAGCTCTTTATAATTCATATACTTTATCACTGCTTTTCCCCTTAATCTTATCAAATCCTAGCTCATCATCCTTTCTTAAGTATATTATATTATTTACCACATACATGCTTAAAATGGATGCATGTATGCATCCATTTTAAAATAAAGGAAGAATGGAAGACTTGTTAGAAGAAGTGCATATACAGCCACAAACATTTATGTATATTTATAAATATTTGCTAATGGAGATAGTGTATAAATAAATATAAAAGGAAAATTCTAAATATTAATTTAGCTTTGGATGAATTGTATTGGTCTCAGAAAAATGCTTAACTTTTGGTTTTTATAATTGCTATATATTTAAGTGCCTAAATCCCCTGAAATACAGAGTTTGTCTAGTCCCTTCTAGACAAGTGCACAATAAAATTAATTTTAAGATTCTTCCAGTGAAGTGTTGACTGAAAGAACTAAACTGGAGAAGACATGGATTTTAATAATTACATTTCATGCACATCCTTGCTTTCTTTTAAAAATACCTAATTGTGTCACAGAAAAAGAAGGGAATAACATAAAACCTGTGTAAATAGAGCAAGTCAAACAAAGTGAGAATGTTAATGCTTACTTGATTTTGGAAACTCCTTTAGAAATATGTTGCCTAATAGCTAGGTATATCCTTAAACAGAAACAGCACTGTGAATTGCAAAATATCTGTAAGCTGGGGGAACAGGGTCAAATTATATCTATTAATATAAATGAAAATAAATTCAAACCTAGTTAAAATATTATAATTGAAATATTCAATTCCAAGTAATTAAATGCTTTATGTAGTCAGTAAATAATAGCCTAGTCCACTATACTGCAAACAGTAAAGAAAACTTTTGTTTCGTATCACACAACAGTAGGATATCTTAATGTGAAACTCAAAATATTGAAATAAAAGGAGTTGTTGCTGGAAGTAAACAGCTTTCCTTTCCTATGAGTATTTTCTATTATTAGGAAGCTACTCTTTTAAAAGCAGAAGGCAGTTCAAACAAGCTTTCTGTTTTATGGAAAGAAAGTTTGGCTTGTTAAATTAACATAGCTATATGTGTTAATACTGTATAACAGAACAGTAACTTACAGTAAATTAGCAGAGCTAGTGGTCTTAGCTTCATGCGTTTTACCTCATGTTAGCCTTAAGCTAAAACTAAGAATGGTATTTACTAGATCATTTTGGTTTGACTGGTGCAATGTGTTTGATCTACAGTATGCCTATTTCTTATATACTTTTTAAAAATTAGGTTTTGTTATAGTGCATTGCAATATTGTTCATAGTTCTGTGCTCTGGTTTTTTTTTCCCCATGGGTGTAGTGTTATGTATATGCTTTTCTTTTTGTGTGATAGTAGTTGAGCAACTACTCCCAAATATTTTTTCTCTGCTCCAGGAAATATGACCTTTTCAGTTTGTGAAGTCTTTTCTGCAGCATCATTTGAAAAATCTCAGGAAGTCCATTTTGTAAACCATCCTCATTTATAGCTTTTCTATCTTCACAATCACTTGAAGAAAAAAAAAAACCAACACACGACTCCGATAAATGTCAGTACCTTATCCTTCTATTTTTCCCAGTTTTTGTGCTGGAGATACTCTCTTGAACCTAGCAACAATGTAACCAATGAGAGGGAATAAGAGAAAGTAGAAAGGTGTCCTGCTCAAGAGAAATTGTTAGAACAAAACAAAACAAAACAAACAAAGAAAAAACAGACAAAGAAAAGAAACACGGAAAGGTATCATAATTAGAAGAAGAGTATGAAGGGTTGTTGCTCATACCCATTTCCAAATTTGCAGACACATATAGGACAGATTAATTCTTCACCCACCAAATAAAAACATACTGTCCATGTCAAGCTCCAAGAGACAGAATAACTGTGCTTTATAGAACACTGTCCTACAAACAAGAAGGTGGCCTTTTGTGCTTTTGTGTACTTTATGTTTGTCTTCTGCCACAAAGATATTTCAGCTGAGGGAGCACAGCTGAAGTCCTAAGGGATCCTCCTGCAAAAAAAACTGCAAAGCTGCTTTGAACACAGAAGTCTGTATCTGATCTGAAAGTGTTTTATCTCTTCACTCCTGACTCAGCATTTCATGTGTAGTCTTGGACTCATGACTTCACTGCTCTTCTTCATCGTTACCTTAGGATCATCTCTCTTTGCTCTTTGATGATCACTTTACATCTCTATCACTGCTGCCTTTCATTTCTGTCCACAGTGAGTTTAGTTCTGTTTCCATCTCTCCTCAAAATTCACTGAAAATGCTGAAATCCTACCAGCTCACTTACCTTGTTCTTCCGTTGCATTCACCTAGCTCTTTGCCATCTATCACTTCAGAGCCATCTTAATTGTCATCATCATCATCATCATCATCATCATCATCATCATCATCATCATCATCATCATCATGACAATTAAGATGGCTCTGAAGTGATAGATGGCATCTTAATTGTACCTTGCCTATAAACAGCAAAATGAAAACATGAGATCTCAGCATATCCTAATCACCCTTAATTCATGTAGCACAACAAAAGCTATGAAGGTACATTGGAATGGACTGGCGGGTGGGTTCATTAGGGATACTGGATTTGTATTTTAATGACTGTGCATCAGTGTTGTCTAGGCTGTCTACCTCTGGGTTGGCGTATGTGCTCCTGTGCTAACCATACCTCAGTGTGCATCCACCCTTTTTCTTCTCCCAGTTTACACCATCGTCAAATAATTTCCAGCCCTTCTATGTTTCCTTGTCTGCTGTATTTAGATTAGTATGTATCACCACACAACATAAATCCTCGTCTTAGTCTCCTTCCCATACCTCTTGAAACACTGCATAGCCTGGCAAACACCTGCTAGTGGTGTGGCAGAGCTACAATCAGCAAGGTAAGAACATCAGCTACCAGGAGAAGCAGGAGTTGCTGCTTCCATGCATTTTCTTTCCCAGGAAAAGGAGTTGTGCTGATCCACAATCTCCCAGCAAGGTCACTATGGGAACAAAGGGAAGCTGCTCTCCAAGCAAGAAATCGTAACTAAGAGTAGAGAGACAATTTAAGAAGCCAATGATGAAAAATGGAAAGAATGAGACTGCTCAGATTTCTTTACCAAAGTAACAGGCCTGACCAACACTGTGCAGCAGCATTTCATCTCTTCATTCTTAGACAAAGGAAGACTGCAATTCAAGTCTTCTTTTTCCCAGGGAGAAGGACGCCACAACTGTGAGTACTGACTCTATTCAGAACTCTGGAAACACTTAACAGCTTCTTGTGTAAATGTAGGCAGACAAGGACTTACTGGGCCTATGAGGGTAGTCTTGAGCTGCCATATACAGCATCTGCAACACCTAGTTATTTAGATCTTTTAAGTTTTCCATTCTTCAGTTGATCCTCCTCAGCTCTAGTGAGATACATAAAAAGCACACTCAACTATTTGAAAAACGGTAGCTTTACTGGAAAGCAATTACTTGCTATTTAATTTAGTTGGATGTGAAAGGTAACCATGGTGCTTGCTGCTGCTATTGTGGGTAAAAAAAAAAAAAAAGGTACTTTTTTTGCACAGATCCTGTATAAATATATCTGGTTAAATGAACCGTTCAGTTGTATCAACTGCATCAGTAAATTAAAAAAAAAAGGTTTTGCTTATAAAACTGATTATAAAATTGTTTCATGGTCTAGTCACATTCTCCCTCCAGATCCTGCTTTTTTTTCTGAGTTCTGAAAATTTTGGTTTGGAAAAATGGTTTCATTGAAAGTGAATGACTTTCCCCATTTTTAGTGAATCAAGGAATATGATTTATATTGGAAAAGGAGAGCTTCATTCTCATTTCTTAGTGCTAGAGGGGGTTTCAGCATAGAACAGCATAAGCTGCTTTCTCCCTTTGTTTGAAAAATTATTGATTTAAAGTAAGATTAATGCTCTATATTTAGGTGATTCATACAAGTTTGAAAAATGCAGTAAAACAATTAAAAAGAACACCAGAAATCTAAAGTAAGCGTATTTTCCCGATGATCAATGCAGCAATAATATTTTAGGCAGTTACAAGGCTAAGAGTTGAACCTTTGGTTACCCTACAAGCTCAATCCTAACCCAAATTTTTGCAATAAAATTCATATTGTTACAAGATGAAACTCAGCTGGAATATGAATGATTTATATTTGTATACCAATTTCAAATTACAAATTTAACATTTAAAAATCTTTATCAAGGAGCTAGCATCATTCATTTTAAATACAACTGATTTTCCTGGTCAGAAAGAATTGCTGTCTTTTTTTTTTTTTTCCCCAGAGCCAAATCTCTGCATTTTGAGTTTTTCTTGCCAAATGGAAGAAATTTTTAATTCCTTTCTAACTTTTTCACTCCCACATTTTACTGACTGTTTTGGTGTAGAAAACACCCATGGGTGATTTTTTTGATATTCTAAGCATATCTGGCACCTGTTTAGTAATGAAACAGTACATTACAGCTTTGCCTGCAGGAGGAATTTCTTCAACTGTTATCTAAGTTGCATGGCAAAGATCCAGGCCCAGAGAATTGTGCTGTCATATGAGAGTAACTTTAGTGACATAAAGTATCTTGTTAACTTTCAGTGTCTTGGTAGAAAGTCTACACTAATCTAGGGAAATATTATTTATAAGTAATAATTTAAACTTTAATTTTTTAGAATATTATTATAACATCTCCATTGGTTAATATTGCCATTTCTTTGGTGATTGGAGAATGAAGTTACCATGGAAAATTTACAGTTCGTAACAGAATGGACCAAAGATAATGTGACATTACTATTATGTATGCTAGGGTTTTCAGATCTGTGATTTCATTTCCTTAAATTCAGCCAGAATTCTTAGTTTTACTCCTCCCTTTTGTAATGGAAACTTTGTACTCTGTGTATGTCTATTAGATTAACACTGCTTTTGCAATTCACTAGCTTACAGGGACTCAAAAAGAAAAAATATTTTCTGTGATAACATATACAGCTTTTTAAAAAAGGCTATCAAATGTCATTAGAGATTAGATGGATCACAATGTGCTGCTGCAAAATTATTAGATTCAAGATGTGAATAAATAAAAATAAGAAAGTACTCTAGAAACTCTGCAGGGTTTTAGTTCTCTAATTTTTATTATTCAACTGGCTTTGATCAAAGATAGAAATCTCAACAGACATAAACTTTTATGGAAATCTCAACAGGGACATAAACTTTATATAGCATAAAGTTTTAAACACACATTGGTTTGGAATATACGGAGAAAAGAAAGGGAACATTTAGAAAATGTTTTTATGCTTTGAGCTTCTATCTAAGAATTAATCAAACAGACTTTGCACAGGCTCCTTTCTATAGAATCTGTGCATAATGATGAACAAACCATTTAAATGGGAAGTATAAAATGTAATATTTAAGAAGCAACAGAAGTAGATCATGGTAGTGAAATTGTTTAGAAGTATGATGTGTGATTCTGTACCTAGTAAACACATTTTGAAGTACTGCAAAATTTAACAAGTTCCTTTGGTTTCCTTACTATTAGGCATATGGTTTAAAACTGCGACATACCAAGGGAGTAATACCTGATTAAGTAAAAAGGAAATTTCTTTTTTTAGAGTTCCTGAATTAGAATCTTGTCATCCATTCTGTGAGGGTGGGCTCATCGCCCTCCGCTGTCAATGACACTAAATGGGCTGATTATTCAGAGGCTCTTCTTGACAGACCTCTTGTCATTTTCGTTAGGACTGCAGAACTCACCTCCAGCTATGATGATAATTTCAGAAGTTAGTGGGTGATGGAGAATTTGGTCTAGTTAAACCTTAGCTCTATATCTGTATTTTCTTTTATCTATTTCTACATTTTAGCAATTAAAGTAGAAAAAAAAAAAGGTAGCTAATTTAATTTAAAATACATTCTATCACTGTGTTTGGGTTTTCGTTACCATTCTTGAGACATGTTCATTGATAAACACCTGTCAAGTATTTCTTGTTTAATGCCATGACTCAAGTGATGTTTAGCTTGAGCTTGAAGTTCTGAAGACACAAATTTTTGTATCTCACCTTGTTCCCTGACATTTATTAACATTTTCAAAGCTCTCCAGCCTCTCAGGAACTGTTATCCAGCTTGGAGCTGATTATTGTCAGTGCTGAACACCAGCTGGGTGAGAAGAAAGAAGAAAAACTTTGCAAATGAAGATTACTAATCCATTTTCTCCATGAGAAGGTCAATGTGACTACCAAAGCTGAATGGACCCTTCTACTGCTAGGAAGAAATGAGACTAAAATTTCAGCTCACTAGGTTGTATTTTTGCCATGTGAAAATAGTCCTTATGTTTAGTTTCAAAGTGCATACAGAAGTGGAAATCAAAGAAAGATAATAAGAAAAAAAATCTTCCAGAACCCTGACAATGGTAAGTAAATAAATCATTGTACCCTGGTGCATAAAATTAACGTACATCATAGCATGGAGTGGAACCACTACTGTTTATTTTGGATAATTTGCAAATCTTCTAATGAGTTTGTTTTTATACATGGATCAGGCTAACATTTTAGTTATGTTGTCTTCATCTAGTACCAGGAATTAGGAACTCTCTACATTCCTAAATACTTTTGAAAGGTGTTAGCCAGACAGTTCCAACAACTTCCTCTGCTCCGTGTATTATATAATCAGTTAGGAACAGGAACTACAGTATGGAACTCCTGTTGAGTCTAGCAAAACATTGCATAGCTATGACCTCTAGTCAGTATTGTAATCATAGTGCATTGTTTGAAAAATAGGAGAAAATACAATGATGTAATCTAAGATCACATTGAAGGACACAATCCACAGAACCCTAGAAAATAACTTTTTAGAGAAAAGACAGCGCAGAGTCATTTCTGAGGAGCTTGACTTTGTCCTTTTTCATATGCTGATTTCTAAAATAATAACAAACATTGTAAAGGAGAAAGGGAGAACAAAAGCATAAAGCACATTCTTTTCATTCATAATAATTGTAATGCTGATCTCTAAATCTGCTGCTTGGGTGATGTATTGTTTGGGGAGAATCCTGTGCTGCTACAGGCTTTCAGTCATGACGTGTAATGCTGATGCTTATGCAAGTCTCCTCCAAGACTGTTATTGAAGTTTCATAAAATTCATAAATCTAATAAACATGAGAATATTACAGCATTTTGCCTTTGCTGTTTTCAACAGGAAATACATTCTAGATTACAAAATTTGCAGGGAGCTCAAGTTTGAAAAAAAGTCATGAATCTCTCCCCCCTCCAAGTCATGCATATTGTGGAGATTAACCAGACTAATTTGTAAAAATGTGGTGTATATGCTGACATATGCAGTCAATTTTCTAATGTGGCATGCTTTCCATCACTTTGTATGCATATCTTCCAGGTACATGGATACTCCATTACGAACACAACAGCTTATATGTCCCCAGACAGCAATAAGCAGTCATCAGATGGCTGAAAACTGCAAATGTGCCCAATCTAATGCTGCAAGTAGTTGGACTGATATTACACAAAGAAGTTGGACAGAGAAACACAAAGGAAGGCTTTCATCCATTTCCAGAATATTTCATGCTTGGCATTAGTAAAAGTATTTCAATTCCTATGATGATGAACATATATTAAAACGATTTATCCATTTGCTTTCTGAAGATGCTGGTAGCATTTTATTCTAGGGGAAAAAAGATGCAGCTGAAATGCTTGGGAAACATCTGTTCAACCAGATCATGACTAAGGAAACTCCACACTAACTTTATTTGTGTTTTGTTATTGGTTTCTATGTCTTTCAGTCACTCCTAATGGAATGATAAAAGCTGTTAGTCAAAGGTACATCATGTCTCTAAGTTGAATCTTGCTTCAAGATTTTGGATGAGTTGGACCCTTTCTGGGTTGGACCCTTTCTGGGTTAAGTACAACAGAAGCCAAAGGAAAAATGGGTACTTGACATTCCCCCAAGCCTGTAACACTGCAGGGAGAGTAAAGAAGGAAACAACCTCACCTGAAAAGCTTCAAAAATTTCTTTAGATTCTTTAACCCATCAGAAACCAAGGTACTGTAAATTAAGTCCCTCTTCTGAAGGCTGCTTTTGCTGCCATCAAAAACAATATGAGAGGCACATTAAGGCTGTCTAACATTTTTCTAATTTATTACTAGGTGATTACTCATCCGCATTAGTTTTCATGGAATAGAATTGGTCTCTCCCTCAGAAACCAATCTCAGTTTCACAGAGAGCTATGCAAGAACAGCTGGAGTGTTGCACATGCAGTCAATTAATTTTAGAATTATTTCCACTGAGTTACTTGAATTCACAACTTCAGGTAACACTATCGAAACCTTCCAGTTGAAGGGAGGCTCTGATATTGCTGATATTGCTTCTGTCTTTCCATGTTTCAGTTCTGCTATTCCAGTAGAATTTAGAAACTCCTACTTCTGAGGGCTGGAAGAAAATCCCTAAAGAAGAGATAGTCCCCTACATGTGTCTCAGATAGCAGAGTCTCCCTTCCTCTCAGCTCAGTCACTTTCACAAATGACTAAGGTAAAAGAAGTGGCAGCAACCAGGTAGCAAAGAGGTAGCAACTGGAGGAAAAAGACTCTGAGGCGGGGGTGTTGGAAAAGGGAAATTGAAGTCTTTTCCTGGTATATTATTGCTGCTCTTTCACAAGTAACAACTGATAAAACATCTTGCAAACAGTAAAAGGGAGTGAAGTTTTCATTTGCCAGCTCTTCTGTATGTGGATTTACTCCTTACCTGAACTTACAGCAAGTACTGACTGGCAGAGGAGACTATAAGGACAAGGGGATTTGTCTTTTTCTATGCATTAATTCTGCATTTTTATTTATTTTTCAAGAAAAATGTCAATATTTATTGTGTTCAAATAGAGCTACCAAGGTGTTAAGACACCTCAGGTTTTAGTGCAGAACAAATTTTATACACTTCAGTAGGGCAGTCAGTTTCTATTGGCAAGCTCAGTGTCCAGTACTGTTATTTAAATGCCAAGTCAAAACTACTCGCCTCATGAGTACTTATTTCTTTTGATCCAGGCCAAAACAAACTCAATCATCTGTATCTGTGATGAGTTTCAATAACTCTTTCTCATTTCTTTTTGCTAAAATGGGAAGACGAAGGGAAGAAGATAACATATTTTATCTGAAGTCAGTTTCTAATTCAATTAGAGCTTCATCTTGGCCCCACTGAACTCTCTGGGCTTTTTGCCACTGACTTTAATAAGGTTGGAATCGGACTCATAACATGCAGTTTCTTATTTCTTCCAGATAACCAATTAAAATATTAAATATCTCAGGGTGAATGCTTCCTTCTTGTCTACCTGCTCCTTGATATTGTGTTATTGCTTTTTCTTCTGTCCTTCAGTAAGTTTTAATTAAGGGTTGCTTTGTGTGTAGATAAAGGGGGGATGTTTAATTTTAAAACTTTTCAAGTTATGCTTCAGTCTTGATGTTTTTTAAAGAGGGAAAAAACATGAACATTAGTTTTTTTTTAGTGGAGGCCTAATCTACCAAATTGGTTTGCCTGAGGATGAATTGGAAAGTGAGATGACGAATAAGGGGTATGAGAGCAAACATACGCTCTGTCTCCTCTTTTAATTAAAAACAAAAGAAAAAGAATGCATTTGATTATTAAAAATCCTGGTTCATCAGACTCTCCAGAGAAAATAAACCTCTTTTATATTTCACAGAATGTCCATTGTGAAAACAAGATTAATATGACTGATAGTTAGATTAATTTCTGAAGTCTCATTACATTCATATCCATTCATTCTTCTTTTTAAACCTGTCGGATCAGTATTTATTATTTTACATCAGGAACAACTGAAAATAAGGTCTTTTGATCCAGTTTGTGGCATTGGTTCCTATGCCTGACAGTACAGGTGAAAAGAATATGATATCAAGGACTACAGATTCAGATAACAGATTGAAGGAGGAGATATATGCAAAGCAACACCTCTAAAAGCATACTTGAATGCTTTGTGAGTGCTGGAGTATGTGAGTGCTGGAATATGTGAGTGCTGGAGAGAAGAAGGGAAAGAGAAAGGGAATGAGGAGGCTCAGGGGGCACCTCATTGCTCTCCACAGCTACCTGAAAGGAGGTTGTAGTGAGGTGTGGGTTGGTCCCTTCTGCTATATTTCAAGCAAAAGGATGAGAGGAAGTTAAGTTGTGCCAGGGGAGGTTCAGGTTAGATGATAGAAAAAGCTTTTTCACTGAAAGATTGGTCAGGCGTTGAAATAAGTTTCACGGTGTGGTGGTGGAGTCATCGTCTCTGGAAGTGTTCAAGAGGCGTCTGGGTGTCACGCCTGGGGGTATGGTTTAGGGGTGATTATGGTGGTGCTAAGTTGACAGTTGGACGAGATCTAGAAGTTCTCTTACAATATTAATGATTCTGTGTAATTTTGTGATTTGGCTTGATTTTCATTTGTGACCATGCACTTGTTTGGTTGCAGTGTATGCACCAGTAGTACTGCCTGGCTAGTATTTGAACAAATGTGTATTTCCCTCTGTCCAGGTAAATATTTAAGATTCGTAATTTTGGTCTGAGTGAAGATTTTGCACTACAGTTATTGACTTGGGCCTTATACGAAAAGCCAAAAAGATGCCACTTATCTCTCTTTTGTGCAGGTACACAGAACATATTGGTATATGCAAGAATTTAAGATCTTTGTAGAGCATCTGAAATTAGGGAAAATTTAAATGTTTGCTTGGATTTCATAACAGTAGGGGGATAGAAAGGAAGAATGCAAAATCTCACCCAATCTACTGACATGACAAGTCAGTAAAAAGTTATTTCTAATGCTGTGCAATGTAATTAAGTCTATTAACTTTTTTATTTTAAAAAACTAAATTACAGAGTCTAGGGTGTTAGACGCATGATAATAATTCCCACTTCTTGTAAGAATTAAACTGTTGGCTATGTACAAGACTTTCTAATGACAAAACTCTCTTTGAAATTTATTATGGCCTTGTTTATTGATTTATCTAGGTCTCTAGGGAATATTACAGACTGATCTGTCTCAGATGTGTATTGAAAGACTTAGAACTGCTGAAAACAACCTATTTAATGTACAGATACCTTCATCTAATTGTTAACTTTAAAACTGGCTCAAACAATGTATTGGATATCGTTACGCCATTAATTTTTCCCTCTGATGAGAGTGCTTGAGCCTTTTCCTGCACACTTTAAGTTCTTTACTCTAGATGTTGTAAGGGCAAGAAAGAATTTTTCTCAATACAGCATCGTGCTGTGAAATCCTCTTCAGTAAAGCATTTTATCTGGACTAATATTTTTTTTCTTCAGTCTGAAAACCAGTGGAGTGTTTTCTATGCACTGTACATCCTGGAGAGCTTCCAGGGTTTCAAGTCTGCCCGGTGTCACTGTGAGACTCTAGGGGCAGGGATTTAATATTTTTTTGGTTAAATAAATAGACACCATAGAAGAATAGGTTATTTATAATCCATTGGCACAGGCTAATTTTAGTAGCCAAGCTATAAATGCATTGAGCAAGCAGTTGCTAAAACTTACTTAAAGAGCTTTGGTGTCTATTCATCTTGCTGATTGTAGCCATAGCTTTCATCTGGAAAGTGGTAGATGGACATCCTTGGATAAATTGAAAACCACAAGAAATCAAATTAATGCCTTTTATCTAAACAAATAGACGGGAAACAATTTTGTCTATATTTGCTCCAGACAACAGCATATAGACTGCACGAACTTGCTCCTTTTTTCAGCAGATCCAGGTGGTGGGATGCTTTCATTTTCTCCATCAAGTTTAAGAGACTATGGTTTGAACGAAGTAATACTGAGTATAATGAATTTCAACAAGAATGAAGGGATGGAAGAAAAGACACTGAGTTAAAATGATAGCAGGCCTTGTACTTGATTTGTTCAACAGACTTGCAATTGGGGTAGCCTTTGTGTTATTAAATACTATATTCTAAGACGAAGTAGTGTATCTGGCCAGAATTTGATAGATCAAATAGAAAAAGCAACACATGTCACAGACACGTCTCAAATCAGGTGTTCCTTGATTTTGCACATGACTATGTGAGTTTCAGATGTCATTAAATTTATCCTATAGCACAAGACAAATTTTTTTTTGCCAGAAACTGGCAAGATTTGAAAAATTGTGTGTCTTTTACAGTAATCAGGTGACATATATATATATGTATATATTTAAATCATCAAGACAAAGAAAGAGATCCAAACACATCATTTTATTATAATATTCAGATATTTTGGAGAGAAATGCATGAGTCTGAAGTGATTCATACCATGGATCCAAATGGTTTTTCCGTATTTTGTGAGAGTCCTTGGATGAACAAGTTTGTACTTATGCATGTGTGAAATAAATCTATTCTGCTGCATTTTGATGTAGAGATTTAAGATCTGCTTCTTTTATCTCCAAAATTAATTAGTATAAGAGTTGTCAGCAGTTTTTTGAGTTGCTTAAAACTAAATGTGAGTGGTCAAACAGTATTGCAGAAATGCCTCTGGCATTATATCTGAAGTAAAATTGAAAACTCAAAACTTAGCTTAAATTAATGTGTTTCACCGGCTTAGTGGGAGGATGGTGGCATGTCTGCAAACATTTATAGATCAGAGAATGTCCTGATCTGTTAATAGTAAATGCTATTGAAATCATGGCCAAATTCCATTGAAATTTTAAGTGCTAGGATATAACTTTAGAAATACCTTTATCGTAAAATACATGGAAACCTGGATGATATTTTTAGTGGAACAATTAGTAATTGGTTTTAAAAAGATGCTTCAAGTTTTGATCTATTCTTGTCAGTATGAATAACCAAGGTAAAATAATAAATATTGCTAATGGCAATTTAATGAAATATGATTAACGGTTAACACTAGAGATCTTTCAGAATGGCTGCTCTGTCCACTGGTTTATCAGAAATGTAATTTTTGAACAGTAGAATATAAACTGTGTTTGCTTCAGATTTTTATTTTATATAAAACTGATTGTAATACAGATATATTTTTATATCTGATTTAATAACAGTATAGTAATTCTATCCATTTACTGTCTGTCTGTCAAAGCTGGTACTAATATAACATTCACAGTTCACATCTACAAGTTCAGAGAACTTCAAGGTATTATTACTATTCGTAATGTTAATATTTTTCTGCCACTTTCATTATATATGAACTGATGGTGCTTTGTTGTGGAAACTAAGAAAACACTTTAAGAAATGCTGTATCTCTCCTTGTCTGTGAATTTAAAAAGAAGTACAACCAAAAACTTTATATATTTAATGGTGCTGTAATCTTTTAATTTATCCTGTGTAGTCAGGCTTTACACTGGTCTCTCCAAAAGTATCAACATGCACAGTGTTTCTGAAGTGTGTCCTGAACAACATACATTTTATTGGCTTCACTTGTTCTTGCTGTTTTCTTATTAGGATGACTAAGGATTTTCACTGAACTGGTGGGATTGACTAAAATCAGGAACTGAAAATGCCCCCATTTAAGGTTTTCTTGTCACTGAAAAAGACCTTTACTTCACCTCTTATATTCCAGTGGATGGCAATCTAAAGTGAAATTGTTCAGCTGAAATTGCTGGGATCTTAGGTACTCCAGGCTCCTGGAAAGACATCCTATTATTAATCCTGGATTAATGAAGAGACTGGACTTAGGGCATGATCCAGAGCCCATTGTAGTCAATGGGAGACTTTTTCCATTGACTTCATCGGGGTTTGGATCAGGCCTTTACTTCCTAAAATGAATAAACTCCCAGAAAAATCTGCTGTAAGCAAGTGACATCCTTTCCTGAGATCTTAGAAGATACTGAAGACAATAGTAAACTCATACTTCGCCCATGAGTATGGCTATATGTGTGGCTCACTGCTCATGGGGAGCACCCAGTGTATCTTAAAAGCAAAGAAAACCCTTAAGAGTCTAAGCATTGCTGGTCACGTTCAGAACAGTTGATCTAGAAAGCAGGGATTTATGTTCATAAAATAAATTGGTAAATCATGGGAAACAAAGCAGATACATTTCTGAGTATTTCTTAGTTTCCAAGGGAAAAGGGAATATTTCAGTTTAAAACTCCCAGAACACTAGTATGTGAATTCTTGACATTCAGAAATAAAAAGCAGTGATATCAATACTGACTTCACATTCTGTCACAACAACAGTAATGAAAAATAATAGTAGCAAAAGAAATTCATTAATTTGTTTATGATGAGTGATAATTTTCAAAATTTCTAAATCTATAAAAGGGATCTCAATTTGGTACAAAGTTGATGGAAACCAAAGGATTTATTTAAAAATAGCAAATAGAGGGGAATTACAAAGTTTCTTTTTAGTTGTTGTTGTTTTATTTTCCTGAATAAGTTTAATGACTTTTCCCTAACTGAAAGAAATAGAAAAAAAAAAAAAAAATCCTCCCCTACCTGTTGAACGTGTGTACTTTCCAAATAAAAAAATCTATTTATGTCATGTATATGTCTGAAATCCTGAATCCCTCACAACACAGGCTGAGCAATAGCAGTGAACAAATAGTATAGGATGGATTGTTGATGCTTCTGAGGTAGTTATATCTCTACAGTAATTCCATAAAGGCAGAGTTCTCTGGTTGACCAAAACAGAACTTAAATGGAAATGAACCTGCTTGAAAAATTTGTTTGGGAGATTTAATGATACAACTCCTCAAGATTTCTTGCTTTTATATCTAATTCAAATTTCTTTTCCCATTAGAAGTTGAATACATTAATCTTGTTAGTTAACACAAATTTTAGAGAAACTTTATGGTCAAACTATATATTATGATTGCAGTCATTATTTCATCCACTAATTTGTTTTCTTATAAAAATTTAAATGTCTTAGCATGTGACTCTTGTCATAGTTACTATCTCTCTTGACTGATATGATCACTCCATTTTTGAAGTTTAAAACGTTGTATAGGTAAAAAATTCTCTGTGAGCACTGGAAAAGTGCACCATTACATTTTGCAAAGTTATATTTTGTGAGTCAGATTGGTATGACTAGTTTATAATGCGATTAAACTGTAAATCTCTCTATATGAATTCTAAATATGGTCTTGAGGTTAACTTTGGGCTACTGGTTTTTGAAGGTTGCTCATATGTTGTATAGTTTCTTTATAAAGGTTAAACTTGTTTTTTATATTATATGGTCTCTTCAGTTTATTATTTTCTTATTGCTAGTTGCTTTGTGCAAGAAAACTAATTAAAACTCTTAATAGATTGCCTGCTGTAATGAATACTTTTTTCTAACTTGCAAGAGATGTTGGTAGTATGTCTCTTTATATTCTTTAAAAAATATTATGATAACACTGTTGATGTATTTTGGAATTGTTTTCCTTTAAACTCTGTAAATTATTTATGTCATTTATGTTATTAGATTTTAATTCAGTAAAGTTGAGCTAAAAACTGTGAAGGGCACAGATCATAAACCTTTCAAAAGCTTTGGCAAGAAAAGTCATGCAACAAAAATATGAATGGGGATTTGGAGGATCAGTGTGAGTGAGTGATGTTATAAAAGAAGGCCTGTATTTAGCATTATAGACGAATAAGTTACATCTTCAGCTTAAAAAAGGATCTGAATGTGTTTTACGGAGTGTGGTAATTTGAGGTGACCAAATTACAGGGATGTCAATAAACTTCCTTTTTAGTTGTCTACCTAAAACAAATCCCTTTTTTTATCTTTTATGTTGCTGTAGGTTTTTTTTGTTTTGCTTTGTTTTTGTTTGGTTGGGGTTTTTTGTGTTTTGGTTTTTTTTTTTTATTTATTTTGTTGAGTTTTGTGGGTTTTTTTTTAAGAACACAGAAACATAAAATGCAAGAGTTCATTCAAATATATCACTGTAGTGTGGCAAATTGCATAGTTCAGACAAAGTATTCTGCATAAAATTTGTGTTATCTCTAGAACTTTATGTGATCTATAGACCACCTAGGAGTTTCCTCAGTCTTATTTTTAAGAATATTTGAAGTGATGTTAGCTATGTTAGCTAAGTAGCTATCTGTAGAGCTACCACCATTTCAAATATATCAACAATATCTTACTTGTAGTTTCTCATTTCAAAATTATTTATGTGCATTAGCTGAGAAGAGAGGTAAAATGGTAAAGCATTAGAAAACCATGCTGATGGACAAGTTGGCATAGAAAATGAACTGAAAATTATGAGGAACTGAATATCTGTATAGATTTCTTGTCTCAATTATTAAGGTTTATTCAGGATAGTAAGTCAAAAGCAAAAGGAAAATAATTCCTCTCGTATACAAAAAGATAACAAATGGATGAGGATATGAAAATTAATTAATTAATTAGTTAACTATTACACACAGGGATATTGAATGAAGTATTGTTGTTTGCAAATGGTTTTGATTTTTTATACTGCATGTAATGGTTGACACAGGGGTATAAAACAATCAATTAATGTGTAGAGATATCTTTAGTAAGTATTAGAGAGAGATAATGTTGATTTTGCATGGAAGTGATGCACGTTAGAAGAGAAAACATATCAAGACCTCTTAATCTGACAGTTTATACCCAGGAAGCAGAAAAACCATTTTGATTCACAGTTGATAGTCTCAAATAGATTTATGTCCTTGGAAATTAGTTACATTGCTCAGAGTTGATTTATTCCAAAGCACTACTACGTAGGGAATCCTGTGTCTTGAGAACTTGAAAAAAGTCTCAGTTGCCCTAGTCACCTATGCAAGGAAAAGATACTGTTCCTCAGCTGAACTACGGAAATGTGCTACACACAGACATAGACAGACATACAGACACTCAAACAACCTCTTCATACATAATTGATACATTTTCTATTTACTGGTTTGATGGCTCAGTTTCAGTATTTCTGGCGTATTTTATTTTTGATAAAATTTTTTGAAAGGAGATATTCCATGAATTATAAGAACAACAAATAGAGATATGACTTTGGTATATGTAAGAATAAGGTTTAGGAATAGCTTCACTTTCTATAGCATATAATCCAAGAAACACAGCTGTGTGATGGTACAGGCTCTAAGATGGTCTGCAGATGTTGTTTGTTCAGCCTTGAAACCTGCATTGTTCAGACCAGAACTACTGTGGATCAACCACCCCCTCATTATTTTGATTGACACACAGACTGGGATGTTTCAACAGTTTCATTGTGCATAAAAACTGCATCCTTTGTGTGATTACAGTGGGCCTCTCTTATTACTTCTCTAACTACTGAAACTCTCAAAATTAAATATCTTAATTTTACTTTCTTCCATACCCTTAATAAATGGTTATCATTAATAAACTCTGGAGCTAAAGTTCTGTATTGTTGTTAACTCTTACAAACTGTCAAATGAAGTTGACAATTATAAATGTCATGTGAATATGGTGTTGAAGAAGACAATTACTGCAATTATTAATTTAAATTTCAAATTTTCTTTTGTCAGTATTCAAGTATCACTTAATCTCCCAGATGAGCACTGAAGGTGTGATGTTATTGATTTATTTTTAATAGAGAATAACCTGCCCATACATTCTGTAGGGTATATTAGCTTGGAAACAAAGATGATGAAGGGGAGTTAGATTTAGATGGACAGACTAGAATATTTTCATTTTGGTCTCTACAGCATGAAGATTCTAAACCACAAGCTTCTAAGGACCAGAAAAGAGAGCAGTTTTTCATAAATTAATTTATTTTGAATCCACTTCTACAAACCATGCACTGAAAATACAGAACATAATTTTTTAAGGAGATCTGACAGGTGAGATATCAAACTTGTCTTTTGCTTTATGTCTTTCATAATTTTACCAGGTAAAAAGGAGGCAAAGGTTTCAACACAGTTCCTTCATCTTGTCAAGTACTCATATGTTCGTGTTTGTTCTTTCTAAATTTCCTTTGTGAAGTTTATGGCACTCTGTCTTCCAGGCTTCTCATTTATTTATTTTCCAGAACTGACTTAAGGGAAAATTAGTAAGATGGATCTGATTTTGCATATTAATTATCAGAACACTAACATATAAACATAGGTCTTTCTGTTGCTGTAGGAGATAAATTGCATCATTTTGGCCTGTGGAAATGTTGAAAGTATTGTATGCTTTCATAATACCAGATGGTTTCTAATTACTAAGGCCATTGCCTGGAAGATCCTTTTTAGTCACTAAAAAACTCACATTCTATTTGCATTTAAATGGCTCTCAGATGTACTCAATAGCTTCACAATAGACTTTCAGCAGGGACACAATTTTACAGTACAATTCTATACAGTACCTTCACTGAAGTAGCTACTAGCCTGCTGCCTGTCCATAATTTGAACGCCCTGTGACTTTAGTGTGCTGTCTAGTTGCCTTTTTCTTCATTCTTCAGAACAGAACTTTGCCTCCTCCCCAATAAACAAGCCTCTATCTTTAACATGACAACCTCTTACATCTCATTCATTATAGTTTTCCCAGGGCTAATACAGTCTTCCCTAATGAAGTAACTAATATCAGAGTACTACAGGTACTGTGCCTAAAAATCTACTTAGAATAAAGAAAAAACAATCCATTTGTTTAGGTAAAGCTTTCCTCATAGCAATGCCAAGGCAAAGTCATTATTGCATTTCATCTAAAATTGACTGAACTTTGGTTCAAAAATAACTTCTACTCAGTGCAGATTAACTTTATAGAATATGCTGCACAAAACTGTACTTTAAAAGTGTTTGTGTTGCTGTGTTGATTGTGAAACCTGTGTAGGCAAAAATTTGTTTGGAGAATGTGTATAACATAAAAATAGATATTTAAAAGTTTAGATACCAACTCTGTTCTCCTCAAACTTCTACACTGCTGATCAATGACATATGGAAAATTTTCTTTGAATATTGTTTCAAGGCTTTTGGTCTGAATTTGATTATTCTAAGATTAGAGATAATTATTTTCCGACTTCTCTAATTTAATGAAGGTGATATTGTGTCTATTTAGTGATTGTGTGACTGTATCTCCATGATAATCATTGAATGGCAATTCTTAGATTTTTTTTTCCATATATAGCAGTTTTATTTTTTTACAAATTCACTGTAAGGGGTTTTATAAGTATATAATTTTATCATTGGAATTCATAAAGATGAAAAAAACATTAACTCCTTATAGTTCCATTATCCCAGCTAATGGCGTGTACTTTTAATTTCTGAAAGCTCTTTCTTTGTAATTTCTCTTTCAGTCACAGACCAATGGATCTATCTATATTCCTATAGGTGGTTTACATGTTGCTGCTGTTGAATAACTGTACTGTCAGCAAATTGCAGTGTCATATCATTGTCTCTAACATAATTGCAAGACGTATTATGGACAGGTTTTGTGAACTTTCGGAGGAGGTGAACATGTTCTGATGTTAAAAGAATTCTAAGATGGGCAGTTAGTTATTTGTGCATATTGTATTGTTATTCTATATACTTTTTTTCAGTTCAGACTTTTAGCCCAAAAAACCAGGGAACTTTTCTGGGTCATGCTCTCAGTCCTGCATATGTTACTGTTAAAAGGCTCACTAGGCTCACATTTCATCCAAGGAATTTACATTCACTGTAGATCAAGGTAAAAGTTAGTGACAGCTCTTCTATGCTGCTCTGCTTTTTTTGAGGGTAGGGCTTTGAAATTAGCCATATACGGATGCAGACAGCTGGGATGGGACTGTTTCTATGAGCGAATGAGAATGAATCATATTCCATGAGAATGAATCATATTCTGGATCAGAAAAAACAGCTACTAGAATTTCCACGACCCACATTTTTGAAAGAAATGCATACTTTGCAGAGACACATTATTACTGTATGATTGGTGGCAGCAGACCTATAGCTAACAGTTCACATGACAAAGGATGGAAGCCTGATAACAGCTGACAGTGATGGGAATTTTTTCTCTAACTTCGATACGATTCTGGAATGAAATGCTTGTCCTATGTATAGTTTATCTATATCTGGTTTTGCTCAGTTCCCCTTGCAGCCAGAAGGAAGGCATGGGGCCTCTCTAGAGAATGATTCATTCTATCCAAGGGCAAGGATGAAGAAGTATGTGGAGAGTGATTCATCTGAACTCTTTTCTTCCATCCACTTGGAGGGGAATGAGAAACATGACTAGTACAGACAAGTCAAGTAACCAGATCTCTAATAAATCTTCTAAACAGGATCTTCAAAATATCATGTTGAAAATCTTATGTCTAAATATAACAGAAAAAAATAAATTTAAATTTAGTTTTAAGACTGACAGTCAAATTTTGCTCAAAT